AAATGCACCAGATGTGCATAGTTATGTTCTTGATTTGCACTGTCCAATAAATACATGTGGATAGTAAATTTAAATTAAGTAAGCTGGAGGCAGTGCCTCACACCTGTAATCTCAGCACTTCAGCACTTTGAAAGACCAAGGCAGGAGGATCACTTGAGGCCAGGAGTTTGAGATTGGCCTAGGCAACATAGTCCCCCTGTCTCTACAAAAAATAAAAAAATTAGGCAGGCATGGTGGCACCTGTAGTCCCAGCTACTCAGGAGGCTGAGATGGGATGATTGCTTGAGCCCAGAAGGTTGAGGGAGGGTGCAGTGAGTTGTGATGGCACCATAGCACTCCTGTCTGAGTGACAGAATGAGACCCTGTCTCAAAATTAACTAAAATAAGGAAAACCCAAAATTCTGTTTAGTATGGATATTACATTTCATTATTGCAGAATGTTTTATTGGACAGCATCATTCTAAATCTAATCAATAAGCTAGATAATACATCAATATCCAATACTGGATGGCATCCCCTTAGAATTTACTTATTTATGGTTTGTTCAGTTTCTCTTCACTCATTTAAGAAATTTTCATTGAATAATCATTATGAGTCAGGCATTGTGCTAAGTGATAAGAATGTAGAAGTGAAAGTACTGTCACTACTTTCAGGGAGTTCATGGTTTGGTGGGAAGACCCAGGCAGATAAACAGTTACAGAGTGAGTGCTGAAGTTAGGCTGTGCAGAGGAAGTCGCAGTGAGAACACAGAAGAGGGACATAACCCAACTTGCAGGGATAATAGAAGTCTTCCCAAGGAAGATGATGATTGAAGGATAAATAAGAGTTTACCCAGATGGAAAATAAGAAGAGGAAGGATGCTCTAGGCAGAGGGATCAAAGCATGTTGGAAAGAGAGTGGTTTATGCACAGAAGTACAGGTAGTTTCTTGTGCTATAGAAATTATGGTGCCCCTACGGAAATGATGAGATGAGGCTGGCAGATGGACAAAGACTAGATTGCAAAGGACCTTAGCTTTGTTTTATTTTGAGATGATGGGGAACTATTGAAAGATGTTAAGCTGTGAAGTGGCAAAAATCACATCTACGTAAATCCTGCTGGAAGAAGTGGATGGAGAGGTTGCACCAGAAGCAGTGAGATCAGATAGGGGTGTGTTTAAGTAACCCAAGCAAGAAACGATGATAGTTTGTACTAAGGTAGAAACAAATTCACACTCGAGATATTTTGGTAAGTATAAACAACAGGATTGACTGCATTTGAGTTTTGAAGAAATAAAGGGATAAATACGAAGCTATATCATTACAAATGTCCTCTGTGCCAGACGATTATCAGGTCACAAAATTGCCTTACACCCCTTAAACAAATTTGAGAAAAAGCCCTGACTGTTATAATCTAGTGAATTTCACTTCCATATTGGTTAGATTCTTATGAGAGATATGATAAAAGATGAGAGACTGAATACTTAGTCAGATTCCGGATTAATGGAGTAAATGCCATGAAACCTGAATTTGTTATCTAACCCTGAGGAAGTCACTTCCCTTTTAATTTTTCTACCCTATAAATGAAGGACTCAGCTGGGCTAAGTGGCTCACACCTGTAATCCCAGCATTTTTGGAGGCTGAGGCAGGTGGATCACTTGAAGACAGAAGTTTGAGACCAGCCTGGCCAACATGGTGAAACACTGTCTCTACTAAAAATACAAAAATTAGCCAAGTGTGGTGGCACATGTTTGTAATCCCAGCTACTTGGGAGGCTGAGGCATGAGAATTGCTTGAACCTGGGAGGAGGAGGTTGCAGTGAACCAAGATTGCGTCACTGCACTCCAGCCTGGGCGACAGAGCAAGGCTCCATCTAAAACACACACACACACACACACACACACACACAGACACACACAATGAAGGACTTGGCAACTTTTAAACTGAGTCTTTAGGGGACTGTTGGGCATGTTTCAAAAGGGTTGTCTCTTTCAGTTGCAAGATTTTATGATCCATCATCTGCATGCCCTATTTACTAAAATAAGTTATTGTAATGCTCAGAGCAGATGGTTTGTGAGAAAGTGCTTAGTAAACTTTAATATATACATTTATGATACCATTAATTTTGACACTGAGCTCTTTGGTTTACTGCCAAGCCATTGGAGCTTAAACTATAGTATCTTAAACAGGAACCTAGGGAGAAGAAAAATTATTTTAAGATTATTTTTAATGTAGGAAAATCTGAGTGATTAAGTAGATAATAACTATGTGTCTAATTGAAATTGGGTTTGTTTTTGTGCCTGATAAAATGAGTCTCCTTGCATCATAGAAAGTCTTTATTTATGAGTGTATGTGTGTCTGTCCACGGTGATGGTGGAAGCTAAGGTAGCATTTACAGCCTGCCTTGGTTAAGAACCACTAGGGATTTATGCTAAACTATTACAGACAGTAGCCTAAGACTGTGGCCAAAAAAAGGCCAATAAAATGCTGGATGGTCTTAAGTTGTTTTTTTTTTTAATACAAGACCTCGCTTTGTTACCCAGGCTGTTGTGCAGTGGTACGATCGTGGCTCACTGCAGCCTCAACCTCCTGGGCTCAAGTGATCCTCCTGCCTCAGCCTCCCTAATAGGTGGAACTGCTACGGGTGCATGCCACCATGCCTGGCTAATTTTAAATTCTTTTTATAGAGATGGGGTCTTGCTATGTTGCCCAGGCTGGTCTTAAACTCCTGGCTTCAAGCAGTCCTGCAGCTTTGGCCTCCCAAAATGCTAGGGTTATAGTCACGAGCCACCATGCCCAGCCAAGAAAAATATTTTTTTAAGTTAGAAAATACCTTTACTTTTAACACCTTTTATGATTATAATATAAAAGGCTAACATAAAATAATATATTTTTTAGTGTAATATAAAAGGTGTTATAATTTTGCTTATGATTTTTCAATTAAAATGTAATGGTACTAGAGAAAGACAACTCAGTTACTTAGGGCATAGTAGAGGGTAATGGCGATACCACTGTATGAAAGCATACCACTTTTCATTGTATTAAAAAAGTGATATGAATAAATTATACTAAATATTGAAGAGCGTGGCTAGATTTGGTCACTACATCTTGGTTTTCTAGAAAGAAGGGGTCTGAGAATGGTGAATTTAGTCACTTATCTGATGACCATAACTACTTAGTACCTAGCAGAGAACCAAGAACAAAGGGGGAAAAGTGGCACATCTAAAGGTTACTCATTCTCAAAAGGTACATATGCTCAAATGTATGTATATAAAACCTATTAACCGTACTAGTAGGAAAGGCCCTTGCCTAGGTTGTATTTACTGTTACTTTAGACACAATTCTAGTAATTGATTAGCTGGCTTATCTGCTCAAGAAGAATAAAGATAGCATTAATAAGAGAGATGAGGGAGAAAGCAGGGAATAAGAATTCATGTTAAAACTACCAGGGAGAAGGCAAGAAAATTAGAAAAGCTAGACACAAGAACTCAAATAGCACAGCTTTTTAATAGAACAACAACAACTAAAAAGCCCCTGGGAATTTTACTTTATAGAAAAAAATGTATCCTTAATGGTGATCCAGAGAATTATGTACATTTTAGAATTTTGTAAAAAATGCTTAAGATTAAAAAAATTTCTGATACTCAAAACAAAGATTATACAACAGCAACAGAAACTTATTTTGAACTTCCCATTCCCCAGAGATGCCAGATAAATTACACTGTGCAAGTTTTCTATATTTATTGTTTTTAATTGTTGATTTTGAGCCTTTCTAAACTATATTTCACACAGAATACACTAGACTTAAGAACTACTTTTGTTATTCCAAGAACTATATAGGCTGAAATTTTAAATAGCTTACAAAATTCTGGCTCAGATAAATTCACAAATAAAACATCTATAATGTTCTTTAAGAAAATTAAAATATCCAGCCCTTTGGGAGGCCAAGACCGGGGTATTGCTTGAGGCCAGGAGTTCGAGCCCAGCCTGTGCCATGTAGCAACATCCTCCCTGTCTCTACCACCAAAAGAATAAAACAATTAGCTAAGTGGGGAGGTGCATGCCTATAGTCCTAGTTACTTGGGAGGCTGATTGCTTGAGCCCAGGAGTTTGAGGTTGCAATGAGTTATAATCATGCCACTGCAGCCTGGGTGACCGATTGAGACCCATCTCTTAAAAAAAAAAAAAAAAAGAAAGAAAGAAAGAAAATTAGAATATTATTTGGGTGGGAAAATGATTACAGGCATTCTTATCAGAGAAGCTTGCATGTAAAATGACAGGGTCTTTTTTATGAGCCAAGTCTTTTAAGTCTTTAAAATAACTAATATTGCAATTGTCTTTAGTTTAATTAAATAAGCTATGTTGGTAGTATTAAGAATGTTAAGCCACAAACGATTATTGAAGGAATCTGGAAATTTTTTAAATTCTTGTTGATTTTTTAGTTGAGGCGTGAATCCTTTATAAAAAAAAATATTAAAAACATGAACAGACATTCCTTCATCATCCTGATTTTTCTGCTTAGAACATTTTACCTATTGTCTGCATGTAAAGTTGACTTCTTACCTTGGCGTCTGCCTTTTATTGCTATAGCTAGAGGTGGCATTTTTTACTAGCACGTATTCTGTAACAAAGCAAATGTTTCAAAATATGTTGACAGCCATGGAATTGGTATCATTTTAAATGCTTCTACAATCATTCACATGAGGCTAAAAAGAGTGAGAAAACTTAACTTGATTGAAGCATGCTACTATTAAATTTTATGTAAGATAACTCTTCTAAATTTATTGTGATTAAGGATTACAGTGATTAAATGGCAGATTAGAAATCTAAAATTATTAAAATACTTGAGGTAATGGATGTGGAGAACTTTCTCAGTAGTGGAAATTGAAGGTTATAAATAATCCCCATTTAAAATGATTACATGTAAATATTATAATGCATTTATAATGAGTAGAAATTAATTTAGCAGTTAAACTCTTATATATTTTGCAATCTTATTTTTCTTTTTTTCTTCTTTTAATAGTGTTTGCCAGCTCTGAGCCTGTGCCAGGATTCCAGGGGGATACCCTGCAGCTAGCATTCATTGACCTCAGACAAGTAAGATATAATAATGTACTTCTCATTTGTTGCCTTCTACCTCTTGCCCTCCCCCCACTTTTTTGTTAATGCTACAGGAATGCCCGTTTGCCTTGAAACAACCTATCTTAAGAAAAATGCTTCCCTGATAACTATGTATTTGGCACTTCTCTTTGAACCCATAATGCATTCAGCACCTCAGCTTCATGGAGCATTCTTATCAGTGAATATTTAATTTATTTAATAGTCATTACCTGCTAAACGCATTATTAAACCATAACTTTGTAGTTTGGTTTAATGACACTTGATATTCAGTTATTTCTTAATAATTTCATGATTATATGTGAAAATTGGTGGTATTAACATTAACGTCAGGACCCAAATTAAATGTAAATTATTACAACCTGGAAAGTAACCCCTTGCATAAAATTTTTTCATTGGTAAAGAATGCTATTTTTATTATTTTCTGTTGGTCCCAGAAAGAAGGATAAAGTAAGTTTTAAAAATGTGATGAGACATTTACATAATTCTCTTCTGGTCATAATATGCTTAAGTCTAGTAACAAATATGATCATTTAAAATATGTATTAATTTGGCTGGGCGTGGTGGCTCAAGCCTGTAATCCCAGCACTTTGGGAGGCCGAGGCGGGTGGATCACGAGGTCAAGAGATCGAGACCATCCTGGTCAACATGGTGAAACCCCGTCTCTACTAAAAACTACGAAAAATTAGCTGGGCATGGTGGCACGTGCCTGTAATCCCAGCTACTCAGGAGGCTGAGGCAGCAGAATTGCCTGAACCCAGGAGGCGGAGGTTGCGGTGAGCCGAGATCGCGCCATTGCACTCCAGCCTGGGTAACAAGAGCGAAACTCCGTCTCAAAAAAAAAAAAAAAAAAATATGTATTAATTTTACTACTCTGGCATCGCTATTGTCATTTTGTTTATTTTCCTCTCTTTTTCCACTTCTCCATTTTTTTGTTCTTTCCCTCCTCTTTTCTCTTTCCTCCTTTTTTTTTTTTTTTAAGTCCTAGGATTAAGTAGTTTAATAAAGCTGGGGGAAGGGAGTCGTAGTAGGAAAGAAGGATCCAAGTTAGAGGGCTCAGGAGTGCTAAATAGACAGTAGGACTGACTGTGGCCTTTGCAAGAAGAACTATATGGAGATTGAATTAAAACAAAGCCACTGTGATATCAGTCTATTAATGGTTCCCATTCCCTTCAGGGGATAGAGATGAGGCTTCATTATTGGTATGAATACTGTCTATCACAGAGATGTTCAGTGCAGGACCAGTTTGAGCAGTTACGAAACTCTGATTTCAATAAATGTTTGAGAATATAGATGATTCCAACCTAGTGTTCTGTAAATACTTATTGTCTATTATATATTCATTATTTGCAGAGGAAAGATGTGGTTGAAATAAATATAAAAGTAATATGAGAAATAGTTTTATCCTGATGGAGCTTAAAAATGCTTTAGAAGAGTAAAACATATACTGGTTAGGAATCTTTATAAGACAGTAAGTCATGTGGAAATAATTGGTATATCTTCAAGTCAGGTTTAGAAGGAGACTGAAAAAGCTATTCTTGTCTCCAAATTATGTCTGTAAAGTATGGTACATATAAAATATATTCATATTTCCTTCTGTTTGCAATCAATGCTCAGATATCATGTCAAACAAGGAACACTGTTATAGATGACCTAGATCTCGATGATTAACCTTGCTGAGTTGGGAAAGATAGTAGAAAATGAAGACAGTGGTCTCTATTAGTCGTTTATTTAGAAAACTGTCTTTTCTTTATCAAAGAATTTTAAAAATTTGCTTTTTGAAATATTTAAATTATCACTGGCTAAGTAAATGATTATTATTTTACAGTCACCTGTGATTCTATATTTATTTATTTGTTTATTTATTTATGAGACAGAGTCTCACTCTGTTGCCCAGGCTAGAGTACAGTGGCACAGTCCTGGCTCACTGCAACTTCACCTCCAGGGTTCAAGTGATTCTGCTGCTTTAGCCTCCTGAGTAGCTGGGACTATAGGTGCACATCACCATGGCCAGGCAATTTTTTAATTTTTTTATTTTTAGTAGAGATGAGGTTTTCCCATGTTGGCCAGGCTGGTCTCGAACTCCCAGCCTCAAGTGATCCGTCTGCCTTGGCTTCCCAAAGTGCTGGGATTACAGGGATAAGGCATAGCAACCAACCACCTGTGATCCTATTTTAATCAAGTGTTTTAAACTTTGATATTTGACATACTTCCCCAAATTTCAAATTCTAAAATTGTCTTTTTGAACTCAGACTTTTGGCTGTTCCAGAAAGGGTCCCTGGAAGTTCAAGAGAGATGTATTAGGCTTATTTGATATATGAAAATTATATGAGAAACATTATGAAATAAATGGTATTTAACTTTCTTTGAATTATATTTATACAAATATCTTATTCATGTGTTCCAAAATTATATTGGACTCCTGAAATTCTGATGTCTTGATATTTGTTATTAGTCATAATTATGTTAAATTATTATATGCCAGAAAAATAACAAAATTCCTTTGTCAATTGGTGTATTTCACCATGGCTATTCTGTCTTTGGTCATCTACAGAATATTAATTGTTTTTCTTTGATTCTCCTCCAAAAACAGTTTACAATTGGCTACAGTCCAAAATGTGTTTCTTTTTTAAGAAAATTTATGGAAAACACCCTAACAGTAGGCAGACGCATACAGAGTTATATAATGGACTCTTGAGACTCAAAAAGGGAGGGTGGGAGATGGGGAGAGAGATTAAAAAAACTGCATATTGGGTACAATGTATACTGCTTGGATGATGAATACACTAAAATTTCAGACTTCACCACCATACAATTCATCCATGTAACTGAAAACCACTTTTACCTCAAAATCTATTGAAATAAAAATAAATAAATAAATAAATAAATTTTTTTAAAGAAATATATTCTTTATGCAGACCATCACTCACCATCTTTGACATAAATCATACTCCCCTATGTGTAAGGATTAAATAAGACCTCATAACCAAACAGCAGTGTACAGACCATGTTTACATTTTAATTTGAGCAAACCAGTTGTAAAAAAAAATGGGAGGGGGGCAGATTTGAGATAAACAGGGAAATATGGATATTAGATATTTGGTATTATTTCTAAAAGGTATAATAATGACATGGTGAATATGTTTTTTAAATGCTTTACTAGAGGCATAATAAAACATTATAGGTAAAATGAAATAAGTACGTATATATGTAAGTTATAGATGTTTTCAAAATACATTTGAATATACAAAAAAAAAAAAAATTACTCAGTCTTACTACTCAAACACATCATTATTGGCATTCTGTTTTATTCCCTAGTGGTCTTTTTCCATTCATTGTTTTCCTCATGCATGCTCCTACCCTCACCAAAATATGATTCCTGGCATATTGTCCTCACAATTCCTTCTTTGTATTTCAGATAGTGTTTGCCTCTTAAATCTTAAAAAGGAACTTTTTTTTTTTTTTTTTTTACCAGATATTTAAGAGCTGTAAAACCCAAATATAATGTGTGTAACTTGTTTTGATCCCAATTCAGCCAAATCAATGGGAGAAAGCAGGGAAATGTATTCTGTGGTTTGTTTTAAAATACTTTAACAAAGAAAAATTATTGATAGTAGCTGAATTTGGGAGGTGAGGATGATGGGTTTATTGTGCTATTTACTTTCATGTATGTTTGAAAATTTTCACAATAAAAATAAAAATATTTAAAAAAAAAAAGACCTGGACAAATGCTCTCAAGTACAGGTGACTGGTAACTTTGGAAATCATACTATTGAGCTAGGTAAAAAAAAATTCCAGGACTAATTAAAAGGCTGATACATTCGTAAAGATTGCTAACCCAACATCAAGCAAAACAAGAATTGCATGGAACTCAACTGATGATGGACTAAAAGTGATTTTTTATTATTTTATTTTTAAATGTTAATCTATTTATTTATTTATTTATATTGAGACCAGGTTATAAGACTGGATAACTTTTGTATTTTTGGTAAAGATGGGGTTTCACTATGTTGCCTAGGCTGGTCTTGAACTCATGGGCTCAAATGATTCACCCACCTCAGCCTCCCAAAGTGCTGGGATTACAGGTGTGAGCCACGGTACTTGTCCTAAAATGATTTTTTGATGACTTTTTATTTAAAACATTGCTGATTCTTTCTATGTTTTGTTTTCCAGAGCCAAGAAAATTTTTTCTTCTAAGCTATTCATAACTTACAACAATTAGTTAAAGTATACTTATGAGCAAAATCAAAACATTTACCTTGCTCTCTACATGATTTTTCTCCAGAATTTAGAAACTGTCAATAAATATTCTTGTTTTATGACAATCTAATTATTTACATAAGTTCAATAAGAATCTTTTCTTTTGTAAAAGGACACATTAAAAACACTGGTTATTTTACCAAGGATTTGACTAAAATGTCGTGTTTTCCTATACAACCAGACTGCTTTGAGGGACTGAGGTTGACTTTATAAAGCCAATAAAGGTTTTTTTTAAAAAAAAGACTGGCGGGGCTGGGCACGGTGGCTCACGCCTGTAATCCCAGCACTTTGGGAGGCCGAGGCGGGTGGATCACGAGGTCAAGAGATCGAGACCATCCTGGTCAACATGGTGAAACCCCGTCTCTACTAAAACTACAAAAAATTAGCTGGGCATGGTGGCGCGTGCCTGTAATCCCAGCTACTCAGGAGGCTGAGGCAGGAGAATTGCCTGAACCCAGGAGGCGGAGGTTGCGGTGAGCCGAGATCGCGCCATTGCACTCCAGCCTGGGTAACAAGAGCGAAACTCCGACTCAAAAAGAAAAAAAAAAAAGGACTGGCATGTACCTTATCCACACAGTTTCCTTTTAAGGTTCCTGACTTTGGGGTAAGTAAAAAATGTTACTTTCTGGCAGGCCTAAGAACCTCAAGATATTTTGAGGACCTTGAAAAGAGAAAAATTCACTCAGTTCATACTGATACTACAGGTACAGTCTGATGGT